ACAAGTGAAGAGTAAGACACAAGAAATGGGCAAGGAAACCAAGACAATATGCAAACCACCAAAATGCTGTCATGCTCACTAGGCGAAATCAGAGATGCTGGGAGAAGCTGATATCAGAATATTCGCCTGGAAAAGCTTAGCGAGTGCCAACGAATGTTCACCTGGCGAGTAATTCTAACGAAACTCCCAGACCAAAAGGACATAAAGTTCGTCTGGCGAGTGGAGCCAGCGAAGGTTTGCTTGGCGAGTGATTCCTTCGCCTGGCGAAGGCACGATATCTCAGAGGGCGGTTTGCTGCTGGAGGCACTTTGAAGTGTCTTGGTTCTGTTGTTCGCCTGGCGAAGGCCCCTGTTCGCTTGGCGAATGGGCGGAAACAGAACATCTTTTTGTACTATATTTACTGCTTTTTAGGTCATAACTTAGGGACTTTTGAATTATTTTTCATTTTGAACATTGGGGAACATCAGAACAGAAAGAGAGAAGTAAAAACCCTAAGAGGGAGGAGGTAAGATCTTCGATCTTTTGTTGGGGTTTGGATTGTAATCTTTTGATACCTTATGTATTTCATCTAATATATGTTTGTGAACTTATTTTGGATTCTCTATTGATTGAATATCTTTGATTATGTATTTGTGGGTCTTGACAAAACCTTTTCACATCTTTGATCTCAGATCTTCTTCTATCAATGAACAAACTTTTGACATGGTTTTGAAGTTGATATTCATTTTATCCTCTATGGTGTTGTGTTGATTAAGTAGTATGGGTAGCATGAGTAGGATCAACATAATATTGTGTGGGTATGTGATAATAGTGATGAAGAACGATGTTCACCGACATTTGGCAGATTAGATGAATACATGTAAAAAGGGTTAAGCGTGTGTACGTATTCTGATCATTGTATTTTATGCAAAACAATCTTTTATCTGATATGGGTTTCGTTCTTGTTTACCTGTTAATCTTTGATTTGAATCGTGATAGATATATACTTTTCGGATCTGGATCTAGGATGATTGCCTGTTAGGTCCTAAATGCTAGAGATAGTTTTAGGCTTAGCATTTGCGTGAGTATCAGATCTTAATGCTCTGTGTTGTGTTTTTGTTGGGTGAAAGATCACCAATGAGACAACACGGTTGTTCTCTCGACGCCGCGTTAGAAATAAGCTTTGTCGTGAGTGATACGTGAGGATATTAGACGAATGATTGCGTTGTGTTTAGTTTGATCAGAAGAATGCATGTGTTATCAATTGATGAAATCCAATTCCAACAAGGCTCCGTTTATATTTCCGTCTTTATTTTATATTTTATGTTTTTATTTATGGTTCCTTGAACCTTTTAAACCTAAACTTTTGAACAATAAGCTTAGAAATGTAGAAATCGTTGAACGACGTTCATATCGCACTAATCCCTGTGGAGACGACAAAACTGGGTACTTAATATTTTTTGTTTGCTGCTTTACCGCATCAACAACTTGCGAACGCATCAGTTTGTCATGATCAAAAAGGAAGAGATTTTGAAAAAGATCATCTCCTTGACCTTGGATAGGGTTTTGATGAAGACAAATACATCAACGAAAGATGAAAAAGATAAAGTCAACAATGAAAATAAAATAAGATAAATATGAAGATAATGAATGATCAAAGGCATTTGGAAAGGATCTTCAAAGTTTAGGTTAAAATTCTTGATCTTTAAAATATCATGATTCATATATTATATCACTTAAAAGTTCATAAAATATCCCTCAAATTTCATCTTAAAAGTTCTTAAAGATCATGCATAAAAACCATTGAAGCAAAGCCATTAAAAATGGTATTTTTCCAAAGGAAAGGTTGTGGTAATCGATTACTAGTGTTAAATTTTCAAAATTATTGTTATGGGTCATGTGGTAATCGATTAACACCTTATGATAATCGGTCATCATGTGAAAGGATGTAATTTTTCATCAATCAAGGTCATTTTTTTAGATGACACAACTTCATGGAACCTTTCTATACTTATGCATCCACTCATAGAGATTTCTAAAGGTGTATATAAGACACCATACACCTTAAAACAAAATTAAAATTTTCATATTCTCATTTACACAATTCAAATATCATTCTTTTTCAAAATGGTTTAAAACTTTGTAAACTTTCATAAACAAGAAAAATGAATTTTAACCTAAGAGTGAAATTAAAATATCTCGTAGAGTTAAATTTTTATTCCCCTGCATCGAGATTTTTCAGGGGAGGGATGCTAAAATATCATTTATTATATTGATGAAATTAACCTGAACTTTTTTTTATATAAAAATTATAATATTTACTTAATAAAATATTTAAAAAGTTTAGGTTTTCTATCAAATTTCTCTTTTTTTTTTATGTTTAAAAGTTTGCTCGTATATCAAATCAACCTTATATTTTATTTTTAAATTTTTGATTACACTTTTTAATTATCGTATTATTTTTATATATAATAAATTTCTATGTATTCTATAATCCTTTAAAACTATATATTATTATTATTATTACATTTTTATAAAATATTTTATGATATTCTCTAATTGAATACTTACATATCAGTAATGAATCTGTGTTTGAATTAAAACTGCTAAATATCACTAGATTTATGATAAAATTACAAAGATTAAAAAAATTAAATTGGTTTCAAAATACTTATTCTTTCATTGTGAACCAAACATATTTATAATTATAGTCCCACTCATCCCCTCCCTTTTCATATTTTAAACTAAACATACAGGTAATTAAAATTTCTCTCCTCCCCTCCCATCTCTTTGCTAAAAATTTCTTCCCTCTCCTCCTTTCAATGTACCAAATGGACCATTAATGAAGTTTTGTCCATGAAAAATGAAGTTTTGTCCATAAAAAATGGAAAAGAAACAAAAAAAAATGAATGAAGAACATTGCAAAAAAAATAAAGGTATAATTGGAAAGTGAGAAAACTAAGTTGTGACACAATTTAACACATACACAATATTTTCTACTCTTTAGGATACATGTGCTTTTAAAAAAAAAAAGAAATTTTTTTACCATAAAATCCATGTCACATTATAATTATAAAAGTACACAAGCATAACCTTACTAGCAAGAGCGAGTAAAGTCTCAGTTGAACTTTTAGATGATTTGTGTACTAATTGCTTGCCCCACTCTTTTTATGATCACGTATATATGTATCCAAGCACTTCATATGTTTAAAACACATTAATGGCCATTAAGGTCATTGTTCCTTCTTGAGCTGTCAAAATGGGCTAACCCATATGGGCCGGTCCGTCAGATCCAAAAAAATTATAGGGCTTGAACCTTAAAATTAGAGTCCATATTTTTCAGGATTTTTTTAACCCAGTCCTAAAAAACCACTACTCATTAGGGCTAACCCATATGGGATGTTGGTAGTCAATTAGCCCATATCGCTATAAATTTTAAAAAATTATATTAATACTTATATTGTCTTACTCCAAAATAACACATTGATTTTTTTCAACTCACTAAATTTTATCTTTATTCTATTCTATTTTTTTTTTAATATTATACATTAATATAATCAACACTCTTTTCTCGTATTCTATTAGTTTCTCTTATGTTAAATGTTCGAGTATTACTTTTTACAGTTTAGGCATGTATTATATTTAAAAATATATTATAGTATTTATAAAAGAAAATATAGTACTTAAAAATGTATTATGTTTAAAATAATATTATTTTTAATTTTATTTATAATAAATATTATGACATTTTTATTTTAATCTTTTAGTAAAAAAAATCCATTTAGGGTCGGGTAGCCCGAAGCCCATCTAGGGCCGGGCTCGGGTAGTAATTTTTTAGCCCATATTAAAAGTGGACTTTTTAGGGTTTAGCCAAAAAGTCTGAGCCCACCAGGGCCGACTCTTTTAGGACCGCGTAGCCCATTTTGACACCTATAGTTCCCTCGACTAAATGAGACCAACTAATGGTCATTAAGGCCATTGTTCTCTTGCTTGAACTTGGCTTATCATACTTACTAATTCGCTTGAATGCACTACCTATGTGTTAAAGTCCCTTCACTTGGTTGTCCCTCTAACGTTGTTATTAGGCCGAATGGACTATGCTGGCCTTTTAACTGTGGGTAGAACTAACCTTCTAATAGATCTAATTTGCCCTTTACTATATTTAGGACAGACTCTTATAAATTTATGACAGACTCATATGATTTAGTCAAAAACTTCCTATAACCTGACCTATTCATAGAATGTGTTCCTCATCATAATATTGAACCTTTTTCTGTCAAGAATGAGTCTAAAGATATACAATCCCTCAAGCTTGAGTCGCTTAGGGTGTATTTGTTTTAGTTGAATTAGGAAAGAGAGAAGTTGGTGAGAGAGAAGTTGAAGAGAGATTTCTCATTTCTCTTGTTTGGTTTGGTGAGAAATAAGGAAGACAGAATGAAATTATGTGGGTCCCATTACTTTTTGTAATCTCTCCTAAAATGAGAAGAAAGAAAAACATTTTTTTTTGCTTTATTTCATATTTGCCCTTGCATTCTCTTAATGAAGTTAAATATACTATATTTTATATATTTTTAAAGTAAGGATAGTTTTGTCTTTTTAAAAATTTACACTTATTTCTCTTCTATTTCTCTCATATATCTCTTATAACAAGCAACCTTATAAATATTATTTACTTTTTACCTATTTCTCTCTTCTCGCATACTCTCTCACTTATTTCTCTCTTCTCACTTTCTCTTTATAACCAATCACACCCTTAGAGATAAAATATTTTAAGAGGTCACTTCGAAGATTGAACATTACATAAATTTCCCAAACAAAAATTGTGTATAGGAAAATGCTTTTAAGACACGAGTTCAAAGATCAGACTAACTATATCTGCTTTGTAGTATAAAATTAGGTGTGTTAGATTTTTTTTTTCAAAATAGCATAGCTCTTGTGTGATCTTGTGAAAAGTGCTTGAGATTGTACAAGCCTCCTGGAAAAATATATGGCGCCTGAAAGCTATCCTCCGTGCTTTCAAAATGATTTTGGGTTTGATGATTAATGCTTTTAAGAGTTGTTTGTTTGGTTTCGCAATTGAGGATACATTCATGTTGGCTGCAACTCGATTTTTATCTTGTAAGCAGGGAAGGTTTATGTTTCCTTTCCTTGGTCTTACAATTGGTGGCAACCATAGGCGTGTGGAATTTTGGAAACCCGTTATCGACAGACTGAAAGCTCGTTTGTCTTCATGGAAGGGAATAATGCTATCCATTGGTGGGAGAGTTACACTTTTGAAATCAGTCTTGACAAACCTACCTATTCACTACCTCTCATTCTTCAAAGCTTCAAGAAAGGTTGTGGATCAAATTAGAACTTTACAGCGATGATTTCTTTGGTCAGGTTTAATGAAGAAAAATGGTTTGGCTCTAATTACTTGGAGTACGGTATGTAAACCAAAGGAATTGGATGGATTAGGAATTAAAGATATTGGAGTTTTCAACATTTCATTGCTATCTAAATGGTTATTGAGGTTTGTTTCGAGTGATCATCCATTGTGGTGTGGTATGCTCGAGGCTAGATACGGAAGCTATCGTTCAAGAGTTTTGTCCCATGAAGATTTTGTTCCTAAAAGTAATCAATCCATTTGGTGGCGAGACATAATGTATGTCGTGGACTTTATGGTGGAAGGCAGTTTCTCACGGGTGGTGACTTGTAAATTTGGCGACGAAAGTGATATACCACTTTGGAACTCAAGATGGATTGAAGGCTCAACTTTGAAAGATTTGTTCCCTGCTCCTTTTGCTGCTGCAACCAATAAGCATGGTCTTGTGGCAGTTTTGGTAGCTGGAATGGTAACAACTTTTTGTGGAACATCAATTTCATGAATAACTTGGTGGGTGTGAAAGTCATGCAAGGACATAATGCTCTTATGTTGATCCTGCAAGATACTGAACCAGTAACTCACTGTCTTGACAGATTTATTTGGCCAATTTCATCTAATAGTGCTTTTTCAGTTAAATCGTGCTATGAGGCATTACATCTTAGTTCGGTTGGGAAAAGTTTGGACCTTGATCAAAAGACGATGTTGGAATTAATTTGGCAATCTAAAATTCCATTAAAGGTGAAAATCTTCTCTTGGCGGTTGTTGTTGGATAGGCTACCTACGAGAGTCAACCTGGTCCGTAGAGGGATTATCTTGAACTCTCATGAAAAGGTTTGTATGTTTTGTTTTTGTAGCATCGAGGATAATTCTCATCTTTTCTTTTTTTGCCTGAGAATATGTTTAGTTTGGTTGAAGGTAGCAAATTGGGTTAGAATTCATTTTTTGGTGAAACAGGAGGCTCATAGGCACCTTTTTGAATGGGCGGTCTCATTGTTACGGAGTTGCTCTAAGCCTACTGCATGCGTAATTTAGTTTGTGTCTTGTTGGTGTATTTGGTGTTCTAGGAATCGTATTATTTTTTATGACGAGGTGGGTAATCCAAATATTATTGTAGATAGAATTATACTGTCCTCTTAGTGGTGGGCATCTCTTAGGCATAGACACAATTCTAGGTGCTCATATTATGAATGACTCAAATGTCCTCTTAGTTACTTCTAATTGAATTCATTTAGTGTTGATTTTATTATGTGTGGATTTTGTTTATGGGATTGGAGTACCCTTAATACTCTCTATTAATATATCTTTTCTAGCCTATAAAAAAAATAATCTTTTGTTGAATATGTTAATCAATAACTCATTAATTAGTTTTTAGGTCACCGCATATTAATTTTACTAAACAAATATGTTAAATATTTTGATAATAAATATTTAAATGATTGGATGTCAATATTACTATTTTAATTTAAAAATTGAAATAACCTCTAATTCACACAAAAATCATCTTTTAAAAAATAATTTTTTTTTTAAATTTATGACATAACATAATTTATAAAAAAAAAATCAAAATTTTGATAATTTAACCTGACACATTTACAACTCTTGTTTTGAATATTCATGGTATTCATATTAATTATAATATTGTACTTATTAATAATACAATTTAGAATATACTTTTTCGTTTTTATTCGAATATTGGAGAAAGTAAGTTGTTCTAACATTTGTTATGTCCTTTAACCACTAATTTCATAAATTAGTGGTTTGATGATTGCAGTGATGATTTCAGAATATGTTGTTCTCATGCTTTGAGCAAGCTCCACGGTCTTTATGGTTGGAAGGTACCGCAAAATATAGCCCAAACTGCATAATTAAGCTATTCTGAGCAAAACAGCTTCTAATAAAACCAATTGAACCTTCATTGACTAAAGTGATTATTTACTAACCTGAAAAATTTTGTTTTAAATATACAAGATTGAAGATGTAACTTTACCAGAAATCATACAAATGCGCCTAGTACATTATTTGAAGTTATTTTGAATAGAAATTAATTGACCATGTCTTATGTATCATATTATCGATATTTGCATTTTTTTTTAAAATGTGTGATTTTTTATTGTAGTATTGAGTTATAAAATCTCATTTTTTTAAAAGAGTAAATAAAGGGCATTAATAGCGCTTTTCTAGAAAATGCTATTAAAGATAGTGTCTACAATAACACTTTTAGAAAAAACGCTATTAAATACAAGGACTATAATAACACTTCTACAAAAAGCGCTATTAAATATAAGGACTATAATAACACTTCTACAAAAGCGCTATTAAATACAAGGACTATAATAGCACTTCTTCAAAAAAACGCTATTAAATCCTTTCATAAACAAGGTGTATGGTAGCACAGAACAGGACAATGATAGCATTTATAATGAAGTGCTATTAAAAACACTCATTTTAATAGCGTTTTCAAAGCGCTATTATATGTATCAAATTTATAATAGCGGGGGCTTTTATAGCGCTTTTAAGCGCTATTAAAGGTAAAAAAAAGCGCTATTAAAAACAATTTTTGGCGTAGTGAAATAACATTTCCTATTAATTTTGAATTACTTTTTTTCGGTTTTAGGATTTGAATTCGTGGATTTCCATAGAATTTTTAGATTAAGGCTTAACATAGAAGAATCATAATGTATTTTGTTTTATTTTATTAAAATTTGTTTTGAAAATTTCAAAGATATTAAAAACTATAATTAATTTTATATGAAAAAATAATTATAAATTATTTTACAATAGAGAATAAAAAAAAAAGTTTAATTAGTATGCACTAACAGTATATAAGTTTACAATGTCATTCAATATCAATATCATACACAACTAAAAAATTCGCTTTTAGTAATTGAAAAATTTCGGCCACTAATGACCGAATTAGCCATCAAAATAAAAAATTATGTTAGTAAAATTTTAAAAATCACTGAATCGGTCACTAAATAAAATTAGCCACCGAATTAACGACTAATATTTTATGAATATAATTTTCAGTTTTAAATAATCGTTTTTATATAAATTAATTCATAACAAAATTCAATGACCGAAATTGGATAAGTTTCTACTAGGGACAAAACTTATGTTTTATTTTAAATTTTTTAAAATCGGTCACTAAACACGATTTTTTTAGTGATATCAATACTATTAATTTAAAATTTAAAGTTTAAGGTGGTGTGATACATGAAGCTAATTTGTTTTACACTATAAATGCATATCCTATTTTCACAGAATATATATTACTAAAATATTTTTACACTCTTAATGCATAACAATTAAACCCTAATTAATATTATTAAATAATTTTATAATTTGATTTTTTTTCCTAAAAATTACGTATAATATATAATAACGTATAGAGAGAGTAATTTATGCATTGTAATTGACGACCTAAATCAGTAAAAAAAAATTATATCCTAAATCAGTAACAAATCAATTAAATTCTTAAATCACTAACAAAGCAATTTAGAACAAATTTATATCCTAAATCAGTACGAATCAATTTATAACAAATTTAAATTCTTAAATCACTAACAAATCAATTTAGAACAAATTTATACCCTAAATCAGTAACACAGGAATTTTTTTTCAATGGAACTAATCACTAAAATTAAAAACAATCGCACTCTCAAACCTTCAAACTCCATAGCAGAAGTGATCACTAATTCAAAGAAAATCGAAACAAACTCTATCCCAAAGTTAACCAAAATTTTGAAACTTGTTGAACAAATTATACACTCGGGTCAATTCCTCCTTCAGTAGAGCATTCTCAATTCTAATATTGTGTTCCTCCATTGAAATTTGTCTCGGAATTATTGGGCCACCGCAGTGGCTGCATTTTAGATTCGACACTGCTTCCTTCATCATACTGTTCTCCGCCTGGAGCTTCTCATTTTCCTGCCGTAGAATCACGTTCTCATGGCGTTTCAATTGTGTCTTAGTCTGAGTTCGTCGATTCTGAAACCAGAACTTGACATTCTTAATATCCAAACCAAGCTTGTTGCTAAGATCAGATCTTTGCTTCTCATCAGGATGAGGACACTCATTGAACAAACTTTCGAGCTCCTGAATTTGTTTAGGAGTGTGTCGCTGATATTTCTTCTTCTTACTCTGTCGTTGATCATCACTTCCATATCTGGTTTCATATACCATATTGAAGTTGTGATTATAAGGAAAAGATGAGGAAAAAGTATTCCTGAAAATTTCTACTAAATTTATATAAAAGGCTCAATATTAATTCCTATTTATAAAAAACATGGACTCTTGATAAATCAAGAATAAATCTGAATAATAATAACTAATATCAAATCTCATACTAAAAGGTAATTTAAGATACTTTAATTAATATAAATAAGGTATTTATAATATTTTAACTATTCGTTTTTCTTAAAATTAAATATAATCAAGTCCAATTTTTTTAAGAAAATATAATCAAGAAATAAATATTTTTAAAATCCATATTTTTTTAAATAAATATATTTGATAATACAATCAAAAGTATTTAAATAAGGAATACATTAAAATAAAATTTATTTTATGATTGGAGGATAATTTTTACAAAATAAATTAAGATAAGTAATATCAACTAGTAAAAAAGAGGTTCATTCTACGCACGGTATATTACTATTAAGAAATATATTAAAATAAGTTATATTCATAAAACATAAAATACGTTGAAAATGCAAAAGATTCTTCCTAAAATACACAAATAATTACATTAGAATAAATACACTCAATTTTGATTCAAAAATTTCCTATTAATTATTTGTTTACCATTATAAATTTATATATGTTTATCTGAATTTTTTACCTAAATAATCCAACTTTTCAAAAAAAAATTCCAAAATAACTCACCTTTTAAAATTATTCCTAAAGTACTTCAGTTAGAGTTTGGTATTACACAAGGGTGCCAGATGGACTGGCGACACCTTGTTAAGGCTATAAGGGAGTTGCAAATTAGATTTGAGACTCTTCATGCAGTCTCCAATCTAATTGGCGACTTGGTGTTGAACATACAAGGATGTAGCCAATTCATCTGGAGATCCCTTGTATTTTGAATTTTAAAAAAAAAAATAGATACTTCCAAAAATAATTAATAAAATACGTCAGACGGGAAAATAAATGTTATCATTAATTAAAAAAGTATTACGTAAACTAATATTGGCGACCGGGTTAGTCATACCGGCCACCGGTTCCACATCCCCTAGGCATTCTAACTCGTTGCGTTCGTCCCCACATTGTTGATTCACGCCTGGTGTTTGAAGAGTTGAAGTCTGAGGAACATTCCCAGATGGTTCCCGAAGGATCTCTTGCATTTCCATTAGGTCCTGTTGATAACGCGAAATCATATCGTTTATTTGGCTTGATTTACATGCATTTATTTGTGACTTTTATTAATTTATCTTGATTTATGTTCTATTATATGATTAATTTACTTCGTTTTACAGATTGGGGAGAATTTGGAATAAAGAA